ATTTTCCTGCAGCACCACCAGTTCCCTAATCCATCTGCACAGCATCTAGATATTCCTGTGTTAGTCTAAATGTGATTTGACTGGGTTTGAGTAGCTCAATGTCCCATTTAACATATGCCTTTCCAGAGACCAAGACAGAGGCAAACACCATCTTAGGAGGGCTCTTTTTACATCTGTTACACAGCTTTCACACTAAGGGTCTCCACACTCTCCCATTGCTTTTCCCTTTACTTCTGAGGATCTTTAATGCTTCCATTTCCTGATCTATGTCTAGCTCGAGCAGCTGCTCTGTGGCTGCCTCCTGGCAGAGCACATGATGGGCTGCGTGCCCTGCGGAGCCCAGCCCAGTATCAGCTGCCACCCCGCTCCAGTCTCGTTTCCTGTCTGATACCTCACAGGGTGAAATCCTGTGACTTATTTCAGGTTTTTTTCTTCCTTCTCCTCCCTCCAGGTGCATATTTTTGCATTGTATTTTATTGCTTTCCCGGGCTCTACCCACCAGCACCACTTGTCCTATACACTAAGAAAGCCAGGAATACTGCATTTCCTGCAAAAAACAGGAGAACCCTTAGCTGTCCCCCTGCCCCCCAGCTGATCAACAACAGCCTTGAAGAGATTGGGATGCACTTTCTTCTGCTCTTTCTTGCAGTAACAGCACCACCTTTTGGCTCCCGGCGCAATGCTGCGATTTCACGTCAGCAGCACAGCGATGCCTCTGCAGGACGCTGATGTATCCCCCCAAAAAACCTCGTGTGCCTTAACTGTGCTCATATTTCATCTGTAGTAACAATTGCCTGGGGAAGAGAGGATCCCACAAACCACTGGAGTGAGAAGTCATCCCTGCATCCAACCACACATCACCTGAGTACTTCTAACTCAATGGCTTTCAGATAAGATAACCGGTTAGCAAGGAATTCAATCTCCACCCAGCTCTGACCTCCACAAAGCAGGTAGCAGCATGGCTCACACCTCACAGACCTTTTCAGCTCTGAGCATGGATAAACACACCAATCCTCTACCCTTCCCAAACTGGCCTCCAAACACGAAGTAATCAAATGCAAAGGAACAGTGCTTATAAACCCAACTCTTGGAAAAAATCAAGACAGAGTTGCCTGTGTGGGGCTGGTGGTGCACCTTGGAGAGGACGAAATACAGGGAGTTTAGGGGGGTGCAAGGCAGTAAGAATCTGACGTGCTAGAAGGAAAATGACAACACATATGTAAAGGCCCAAATTCAATGCTCAGTCAATGTTCATTCAATGTTCATTTAAGAAGGGCCTGAAACCCTGGGTATTCACCTCCTTTAATGGTGACATCAGTCCTACAGCTACAACACAAAAACTGCCATGGTTCGAAGTAACTGCTCTAACACAGTCTTCAGCCACCCATCAAATTCCCCTTTCCCTTCCAGCACTGATAAATCAGTCTGATTTTATTGATTCCCACCAGCTGGGCTCTGATCCTCCTGTTTGCCTTCAGGGCTAGCAACAGCAGCAGAGGTGAGGCTCTCCTAATCAGGGGTAAAGCAGAACAGATGCACCTCTTTAATGGTGTAAATTCAAACCAGTTCCAGAAAGTAAAATATTTTGCTCAGAATTCAGCAGAATCTGCTTTATTTCGGGGATTAACCTTTCCTTTACACTCTCTTATAAATCCCATCCCACAGCCCCAATGCCTGTGACACCAGAACTAAACCACTTCTTAAAGATCAATAAATAAATGCACCTGCAGCTGTCTGATGATGCAGAACAGATTACTGCTGTCCCTGAACTCTGAGATGAAAAACAATTATAGGTTGACTCATGTTTTCTTGGACTATGACTGTGTGTCTTGATCTCTGCTGTGGTATAAAGGGAAGTAGTCAGTCATATTTAAAGATATACTCACAACTCTCAACATTCTGATTTATAATGTGCTCTAGTATCTTTGAATTACATTTAGTATTTTAAATCAAATTAATATTCAGTTGCAAGACTTTCTAATATCAAAGCATAACTATCCAGAATCTTTCCTTAACTACTTCTCATTCATCTATTAATGATTCTAATGTGCATTATTTTGCGTTATTTTACTCTGATTAAGCTGAGGATCGTGATTCCACAGTAGTAATATTAAAGACAAAGCACCAGGGAATGCAGACACCATCATAAACTTGATGTCTCTATTGCCTGGACTAAAATGTTATCAGTCTCAACAAAGCTGGTATAAGAGAAGATAAAATGTCTTGTACACTTTTATCTTTCCCAATTAATCTGTTCCAATGCATCTCCCAGTGTTTTTTCAGGGTCATAGTTTAGCTAATCAACAGCCATCTCTGGAATGAAAACTTGGCTGAAATGAGCATATTAGCCTTCCTGTGAGTGTATCTAATCTGAATCCAAATGAAAAACAAATATTCAAAGACTGGAACAATGTTTGTCTGTTAAAACAATCTAGATGACCACAACACAGGAAGGAAACGGCAAAGAGTTCAGGTATACACAATAAAGTTGGCACGGCTTTTCTCATGGTCTCTCCCACCTACATAGCTGTACCTGGACAGGAAATTTCTAAATATTCTGCACTGCAAAAACAGCAGCTCCTGAAGGGAAAAAAAAGTGCTTTTGCAAAGGCCATTGCTAATTGGTGTCAAAAGTTTTCCTTTTGCTTCACTTACATCGTGATCCCAAACTCCTTGATTTTATAGAGTCACATTAGCTACTTTAGGCTTTCATATGGATGCAAGTCCTACTTTTCTTATGGGGTTGATATTAAAAAAAAAAGGGGGGAGCAAATAAATTTGTCCTTTGTTTTGGTACCTAATTAAGAATTTGAGTCCTGATCATAGAACCACATAATGGTTGAAAGGAACCTCAAAGATCATCTGGTTCCAACCACACTGCTATGGACAGGGACAACTTTCAGCAGACCAAGTTGCTCAGAGGCCCATCCAACTTGGCCCCAGAGATGGGGCATCCACAGCTTCTCTGACAAACATAATCTACATTGGCATTAAGACCAGCTGGTCTTGTTCTGGGGCAGGGGAAGTTCTTAGTAAGTTTTGATCTTATTACAGTACAACCTGAAAGTACCTGGGAGTGTATTTTGCACACAAACCCAATAGCATTTGAAGATTTTTCTGCTGATAGCTCATTTTTGCCAGCAACCAGTAGCCTGACAACTTCTTGTGCTGACTGACCTCTTGGTTGTTCCAACTGTAGCTGGCAGAGACCATCCAGCCCCAAAGCAGTTTAATGTATTTTGTTATCTTAACTTAGTGAACAGAGTTCACTTAAAGCAGCTCTGAAGCACAGCTCTGAAATTGTTCCAATTCATCCACAGCAGAAGTGAGGCTAATAAACCAACTCACTTCAAATGCCCTGGAGATACCTTTGATAAGGTACCCACTGGCACACAGTCATCAGCAGTTTGTTTTCAGCCTGCAGTGGGAAGTACAACGTGACCATGAGAAGGGAAACCCATGCCTGAATCAAAACAGAAAACCAGCAAGGCTGATAAGGAAACTAACAAGAAAATGTTAATACATAGGCTAACTATCCATTAGGAGCAAACAACTCTCCTAGCAATAAGAAGTGCAAATTTACACTGTTCTTTAATTTCATATCATGCTGCTGTTTAAGCGGTGGGAAGAAAATTAAGATCTTCCCATAAGAAACTGGAAATGTCAATCTCCCAGTGAAGAAACTGAGTTACTGTGAATGTTGGTAGTGGTCTCGCTGACCCCTGCCTTGCATGACCTGTGCTGGTGAAGTTGCTGGGGGCTTGGACACCACCAGCAGAAATACAGCAAATAAATAAAAGCCAGACACATTCTGACACAAGATCTTCTGTAACTTTTATTAACTGAGAGCGCCCTTTGATTTCCCTGAAAAGCCCATCTAAATCCTCCTGTCTCAGACCAGCTCACACACACAGCAGAGGGAGCCAAGCTACTAGAAAATATCTCATGGCTGAGAAATGGGGTATACCATGGTCAGTTCACAGGCCTAAATCTCCAGTGACTCACCATAGAAGTTCCAGTGTGGTGGGGTCCTCACTTCCAACTCAAATACACCCTGAATACACAGCTGATAGTCAGCAGTTCATACCCAGTGCTTCTGACTGCATCTCTCTGGTTCTTCCTTTTTTTTTTTCAGGCATTCTTTAATTTTTAGAATTTTTTATTTTTCAGATTTTCTTAATGATTTTTTCCTTTCACCAGCATGTTTTGTTCTATGTGTTGTGTATAAATCCCAGTACTTTAAGGCACTGCAACAACATTAAAAACTTTTCCTTTCTGTGGTCACTCTAATGCAGCTCCCAATTCCCTTTATCTGGCAGCAAGCCATAGAACTCTCCTGTGAACCTGTCCTCATGTCCTCATGTGATGCTGACCTTGACCCTATCCTTGGTCACACCTCTCAGAGACTGGAATATCACGTCATAAACTCACAATCACTGGTACTCACAGAGCAGGGTGATTTGTGGAATAGCCTTATTAGCACTACACTGTGTTGCAAAAAACTTCTGCATAATCTTGCAGCACTGGAAAGCAATGACATGGCAGATTTAATTAAAAGACAGGCAACTGTAAAGGAGAAGACTTGGGGAGGGGAAAGAATCCCCTCAGAAAAAATTCAGTATCTGTCTCAAACAGCCAAGCCAGTTCCCCAGAAAATTACCCTCTTTTTGACCTTACACAGTACTTTCTAAAAAGCCAAGTTCCCTTAGATAGTGAATATGCCTTCAGTTTCAACCTAAGAGCCCCATGAGAACTATGAAAACACAGAAGGATAACCCTCTTCTGTCAGCACCCTCTCTAACATCAGCAAATCCACTGCTCTTCAGTAGGTGAGCAGAGTCATTCCTATCTGAGCCTGGCTGAATGTCCCCACCAGGAGTCAGTTGTGAAGACCAAAAAGAGGCCTTAAACCCAACAACTCAACCTGAAGAGCCACGTGCTGTGTTAAAGGCAGTGCACACCTTGCATAGCCCAAGTGGTGCTGGCCTTGAGATACTCACCTGTATAAGGACCTCCAGCAGCAGAGCACCTCATGCCTTGTTAGTTTGGGCCCCAGAACCAACATCTGTCAGGATAAAAAAATTAACATGTATGCACTCTATGTCAGATCAAGTTGCTTTTGTATCAGAATCGTTTGGGATTATGAAAATAGACATCCTGCCTTTTCCACCTCCACAGAATCCACAGAATCACAGAATTTTGGAAAAGTTTGGATTGAAAGGAAACTTTGAAGGTTATGAGCAGAGCTATCTTCAACTCCATGAGGTGGGACAAAGCCCCATCCAGTCTGACCGTGAGTGTTTCCAGGAATGGGACATTTACTAACTCTCTGAGCAACATATTCTATCTAGTGTTTCACTACCCTCATTATAAAAAATGTCTTCCTTTTAACAATCTGAATCTATTGTCTTTTATTTTAAAATAATTACCCCTTGTCCTATTACAACAGGTCCTAATAAAAAAATCTGTTCCTGTCTTTTTTATTAAATATTAATAATTGAAAGGCCACAATAAGTTCTCCCCAGAGCCTTTTCTTTCCCAGGCTGAAAAATCCCAGCTCTCTGATCACCTTGGTGGCCTCCTCTGGGCTCACTGCAGCAGGTCCCTGTCCCTCCTGTGCTGGAGCCCAGCTCTGGATGCAGTGCTCCAGGTGGGTCTCAGCAGAGCAGAGCAGAGGGGCAGAATCCCCTCCCTGCCCTGCTGCCCACGGGGCTCTGGATGCAGCCCAGGACACGTTTGGCTCTCTGGGCTGGCAGTGCCATGGCCGGGGCATGTGCAGCCTCTCAGCCACAGCTCCCCCAAGCCCTTCTGGGCAGGGCTGCTCTGGGGCTGTTCATGCCCAGCCTGGGCTGGTACCAGGGCTTGTCCCAGCCCAGGTGCAGCAGCAGCACTTGGCCTTGAAACTCATGATTTTTCTCATGGACTCCTCCTCAAGCTTGTCTGGGTCCCTCTGGATGGCATCCTGTCCTTCAGGTGTGTCAAACCACCTCAGCTTGGTGTCACCTGCAAACTTGGTGAGGGTGCACTTGATCTCACAGACTATTTAGTTGGTGAGTAGTCCTGGTCCCAGTACAGACCCCTGAGGGTGATGAGTGATGAGGGAGCACTTGTCACTGACCTCCATCTGGACATTAAACCATTGACTAAAACACTCTGGATGCAATCATCCAGCCAATTTCTTACCCAGCAAATAGTCCATCCATCAAATCCCTGTCTCTCCAATGTAAAGACAAGGGTGTTGTCAGGAACCATGTCAGAGGCTTCACAGAAATCCAGACAAATTAAATCTGCAACCCTTCCCTTGTCCACTGATGTGGTAACTCTGTCACAGAAGGCCACTGTGTTTGTCAAGCCAGACTTGCCTTCGGTGAAGCCTTGCTCATTGCTTCAAATCACTTCTTTGTCCTTCATGTGCCTTAGAAGAGCTTCTAGGAGGATCTGTTCCATGATATTCCCAGACAGAGAGGTGAGGCTGATAGGTGGTAGTTTACCAAGTTGCTCATTTCTACCCTTTTTAAAATGCTTACCATAATGGTGTAATTAGGAGTTTTAAACAATAAGGAGTTTTAATAATTCTTCAGCTCTAAAACACAATTCAAGTACTAAACAATGTGGTCTTGATGCAGCACAGGGAAGAAACCACAGGACTTCCACAATTTATGGTCAAGGGAACTGAATCACTGAAACAGTGCAATATTTTCCTGAGAAATGTTAGCCTTGCCCTTAGATGTCCTGAGTTTGAACTCACTTTGTTATAAAAACAACAACAATACCCCACAACTCTATTAGAGAACAGAAGTACTTGGGCTCTCAAGTCCCCAAAATAGCACAGTCATTGCAGTAATTTGCTTTAAAAGACTTGTTTCCAGATTTGTACATCTGCTGTAGATGTTACCCAGATGTGTCCAGTAGGTGTCATTCCTGTCTACCCTTGCTTGCTTTAAGGCACTCAGACATATCATTGCTTTCCTGTTTTGGAGAGAAAACTTTGGCATGTGCAGAAACTATGTGTTTGACCTCCAGGCTGAACAAGAATGCTCAGAATTGGTTTGATGCCCAATTATTTCTGGATTGAACTAAAACCTGGAGAGGCAGGTCCAGATTTTTCTTGAAGTCCAGTTCTGCAGGGTTTGGCATTTTGAAATAACTATGCCCCTATCCTTTCCATTTCTAAATATCCTCAGCCATGGTAAGACACAGCAAACCCTCTTGGTACCTTTCCCTTCACTGCTGGGATATGAGATACACAGACCATCCACAGGAACTTGAAAAATGTCTCACCTCTTTCCCTTGCTACAAAGACAACCATAAAGCACTGAAAGATAAACTTCTGCACAGGGAAGTTAGGCCATGACTGCCAGGATTGGAGTGAACCAGCCAAAACTGGTTTCCTGTCTGTCAGATATGCCATTTCTGTATTGAACACACACCTGGAACAGGACATCAAGCACCAATATCTACCATCACCCAGCAGCAGGTCAGCAGCCCTGACATGCAAAATCTGGCATGGCTCACTGAGGGCAAGCAAAAGACATTTTATTAATTTCATAATTTTTTTTGTAACTTCTATTAATCGTTCCCTTTGTCTGCATTCAGGAAACTTCCATCCCACAGGACAGCGAGTTAAGGAAACACGTGCTTCCCCAGGGACATTTTAGAGCCAAGTCTGGCACTGGCTGCCATTGAAACCTAGACTGGGAGTCTCAGCACTGGTTGGAGATGCTAGAGCTCCAGCCAGACATGAGTCTACCTTTGCCCTTCTGGCTGACCCGATGGTAACCTCTGCCAGAGGGACACAGCAGCCGTTGCTGCTCCCTGATCCCAAGGGAGAGCACACAGAGACATGCGGGAATCAACACCCACGTGCAGGAGAACTCCTTGCTGCCTCCCATGAGGCTTGCAGATGGCGTGAAGCCCAGACACGAGATTAAATCAGCAGCAGCCGCAGAGCTGCAGCTGTGTGGGGCCAGGAGAGCTGAACCCATCTGCTTCTCGTGGGCGGCTGGGGCCAGAGCTGGGGCTTGGCTGCCACAGGGACTGTGCCAGCACACAGGTGCCAGGCATGTTCCTCTTCTCAGTCCCTGGCCTGCTTGGAACACCACAACTGTGAAAGCTTCACCCTGGTGCTGTGAATTACTCAATTGAGGGCAAATGACCCCCAGAAAGGTAATTTTGCATCTACTGTCCTTTCTGGTGAAGTCAGAAAATTAGTCCCTGTGTGAGCTGCAAAGTACAAAGTACAGTTTTACATCTGAAATTTCCACTCAGGCACCTTCATGATGTTGAAGCAGAACTTGCAGCAGTGTTGCTTTCACGCAAAATGAAACCAGTTGTCTCCAGCTCCCCACAGCTGTCCCCAGCTTCTCTACAAAGATATGGCATCAAAAGCAAAAATGTCATCTGTTTTTCTCCAATAATCAAAATTATTTCTCTTACTAAAGAATATCTGACTAAAATTAAAGCCCTCTTCCATGAACCCACACTAGCCATGAGACATCATTTTAGGCTAGACAATAAGGAAGCAGCCAGAAAATGTAATTTTGATAGACTTAACCAGTTTCTCTGGTCAAGAAGTATCCCTAAATACAAAATTCTACTGTAAAATCAGTTTTTGAAATTCAAACAATAAAAGGCTGCTGTGGCTCCTTTCTTCTCTAGCAGAGATAAAATGCAGCTGTTTGCAAACTGCTGACTGGAATTTTTGTTTGCCTGTCTAACAGGGTGTTGTGCCTTCCTCCAAACTGAAGGAATTTGTGCTACAGTGTGAGTTTTGAAAATACAATATCAAATTATCCATCAGGAAATACTTCTGTGAAGGGGCAAGCTGAATCTGAAGACCTCACACAGTCACACTGGAACTCAGTTTTCCAAGGTGGGATCCAGCCCCTCAAGTCATGTTGCCCAGATTCCAAGAAATGTGTTAAGCTTCTGAAGGAACCTCCTGCTTTCTCATAACTGGCTTGGAGCCCCTTCTTTCAGAGCACTTTTTTTTTTGCCATTAAGTAAAAGCCTAGGTCCTGAGGCAGGCAAAATTCACCTACAGTTGATCATTGCTTTATCAACCCACCAGCAATGATAAAGCAAGATAATAGACGTCTGGAGAGGTCCAGGGAAAGGACAGTGCTTTTGTTCAGCAGCTCATTCAGTCACATACACTCCTGACAGCAAAAGCCTTTTTAATCAGACTGCAGTGATCTTTGATTACAGCACACAATAACTATGGAAAGGAACTGCTCAGCCCACTGTACCCAGAGGGATCTGTTAGTGTAGCTGGTCAGAGAAAACAGATTTATCACCAGTCAGACAGGGCTGAACTACAAGGTGAAGAAAACTTCAGACATCAGCAACTACGCTTAATTCAAAAAGATACCTACTATGGGAGGGCTTCAAGGTGAGGGCTGAGGTTTTTCACAAAGTTATAAATAGAAAAGATTTATGTACTGGATATTGGGGACCTTTCAATATATGTATTTACAGAAGCATGACATTACCAGGGTGACCCATTTCACTGTGCTTTAAAGCAGGGACTTTTCAGGATTAGGCCTTTCAACCAGCAAGTAATGTCTGAAAAGCCCATCACATAGTCCAAGAATTTCAATATTTATTTTCAGCCAGACTTGAAAGAGTGTGTGCTTTTTTTGTTGGTTTTGAATCAGTAACTTAGGGTTTGGCTTGTAAAATGAGGGCAACTGGATACACAACTCAAGCAAGGCTGGAAAAAGGACATTTTACCGGGCTGAGGGCTGCTTCAGGGGATGACTCACATCTCTGCTGGGTAACTTCTGGCTGGCAGTGATGTGCTCACTCATGCAGAATAATAAATTAACCCCCTGCTGAAATGATGCAATACCTGTTTTCTAGGTTTTACAGACTTCATCTGAACTGTCTCCTGCAAAGCCTTCATTTTCACAGGATTTTTGTAATCTTTGGGTTTCTGTTTCCGGTGTTTCCCTTCTGCAGAACAGGTCTTTGTCTCCACTCCAAGAACACAGAACAGCCCTTTCCTGGGAACTAGCCTGGGAAAACTTTGGTAACAGCTTCCTGATATTGCACTGAGCTCTGTGC